CATCAGAAAATTGCGCCGAGCCAGCGATGTTATCACGAGGCGGGGGCGCGACACGAGGTGACAGCCGGCCGGATGCAAGGTAATAAACACGGCATCATTAATGTGATCTGCAGGCGGAAATGAGACGAGTTGTTTGTACTTTCTTGGCAACGAGATGTGATGAGGGATATGATGCACTGCAGGCGTGAGCAATGATGTCGTTGCCAGAGCAGTCATGCTCGCAGGAAGCAAGGATAGCAGCAAGGGAGTTGTGAGACGCCAGCAAACTATTGCGAGCTCTTAGTGTTGCAGATGGTGACGGCCGCCCTCTGCCTTAACCTTCTCTAATGAGCCCTATTGAATTAAGTAAACTATTTCTAAATTTTGCCTGAATTAGGATTAATGAAGGGAAAGTTGATGAAGGAATTCATAGTTCAACTCCTTTATCGTGGTAAACGCACTGCTTCACAATAAATCTTTCCCTCGCTGACCTTAGGTATGTTACCGACAATTATATTATAGCTGAAAACCTACCAATATGTCATGAATTATTATTTAGAATTGATCATACAATTTGGGATTAATAAAAATCAATCATTATACATGCGTTATAAGAGTAAGAATCGCACATTAATTGTTGAAAGAATATGCACTACCAAAGAACACATCGGGAAATACGCAAATACTTTCTGCCCGTCCACATGACTGGAGTCTGCGCTAGGCGAGCTTTATGACGGTGCCAGCATTCGGCATTTTCGGTTGCTCGAATTACCAGTTCTTTCTGCTCCCGAACAATGATGCGGACAAAAACTTTCCTAACTGCGAGAGACATAAAAACCGCCTGCGTAAACTTTTCCCATTCAGAAGGCCTAAAATTTTAAACCGGGTATTTTACGGGACCATGGAAACACTTAATGCGAATTTAAATTGTACAAGACAATGTTTTGAAGTAGAACTTATTTTTTTTTGTCACCCATCAATAGGAGCTATTTTTGTTTTATGACGCAATTTTTTGCTTCTTTACTGGCTGTCGAAATTTGAAATTTTTGCTTATTATGAAGTATGATTTCTAGGACCGCTTCTGAAAAAGACGAAAATGTTAATTTTCAAGAGTTATAAGACTTCGATAAATGAGAACCAAACTAAATTGAGAAGCGTATGATCGCACAAATTACAGGTCAGATGCTGGAAAATAAGTTTTATTTATTCGGATATGCGATAGTTCTTTTAATTATTTGCATAATATAACGAATGTAGCAGATTTTATGACATGCCTCAGTCTGAACTTGTGGAATTATAAGAGATTACTACGTATGGCTTGAAAACATTTTTAATAGTGTCAATAATTTCAGTTGTCAGCTTCCCTCACTGAACATTTTTCTGCTTCCGGCAATAATAATATTGCGAAAATTATTTCATTTTTTAAACTTTCTTTTAAATCCATGATGAATTCAAAAGAATCAGAGAAGGCGTTGAAGTAGAGCTCAGACTGTCATTTATACCTAGTAACATCTATGGTATCTTGTATTCAGTTTTTATCTGATAACTTAACTTCGCAAGAAACATAGTCGATAATTAGAAATAATTGCTGCGTTCGATACATAATCTTCAGTTCACTGCATCATTTGCAATTCAACCTTTGGATGCGATACGGAATTAAATCTGAATTGAAAGGTTCTATTATACGAGGACCTAAGAATTATATTATGATGAGAGGCAAAGAAAAACCATCGACACAGACAAGTTTATTTACGAAACACCCGTACAAAAAAAGACACGTAAATATAATCTGTTCACTACATATTTGGCGAGGAAAGACATAGATAATATTAAATGCCAACAAGAAATCGGAAATGTTGCCTTACTTACATATACACCAATCCATCAATCTTTCCGGCGAGGAGCCACGTTAATTGAAAACTCGATTTATCTTAATACGATTTAAATATTAATTACTTTGACTGCTTCGGTCACTGCAGTAATGTTCTCCCTGTAACTTCTACATGCCTTCAGTACCGGCGCTCCATCTTATAAATTCTAATACACAGATACAATTATTATCCAGAAACACTCTTCTGCAACAATCTTCATTACCAATCAGATTGCGGTAGCATTCAAATTTCTATAACTACAGATCCAAATACACCGATAAGATCTTGAACTTTCTACCTACGCATTATAAATATGTCCCATAGAAATTCACATGAAAACGACAGTGAAACATTATTCATCATTCATCAAAGACATTTTCAATCGTACTGCCCGGAGAAAAAAATTAGACATCATATCGGTTTGGACTGAAGAGAAATATTTCTTCATGATTTCTGCCTGTTGTAGTTTGATTCGGGGAGAGCTGATTAAAGATTTTTAAGTGCGTTTAAATTAACGATTTTTCATGAATATGCAACAACTTTATTCCTTCTGTTTATGTTGGATTATTCACGAAAATTTGCTCTGTCAAGAGAAAAGTTCTTAAAATCTCGGTCTACGACCTTTGAAGTAATTACAAAGCCAACCCTTGCATTTACAAAGAAACTTATTCCGTAATATGTAATGTTACCTCTGAACAAATGCCTAGCAAGATTCCTCGCCAAAAGCTTGAAATATTGAAAAGGTAAACAAACGAGAAGTTTTTTCCGAAATGCCATCGAACTTATCCCCGCGTTTCAAGTCTAATGCGCTGAATACATTCACATTATCTATGAAACAATATTTCACTGGCACACAGTCACATACAAGAGTGACCCGGATAAGTGATAAATCAGTAGGTTTTCACCCGCAATGTCGTTCCTGCAATGTCGCATGAAGATAACATTTCATATTTGTGAAAAATGCTATCATATGAGAAATAAGAATGAACACTAACTACTTTTTTCTACGACGGCTGAGTGGGTCTGGACCGCCTTGCAGTATACAATGTTTCAAGGTCCACTAACGTGTCATGTTACAGGACTTCTCAAGACTCCAGTCACGCTCGAGATCAGCGATCCTGTATCGTATCCTGCGGCAGTTGAGGAGTTGTGTGAGGCACTACACAATACACGTTGTGTGACGGCCGCCTTCAAGCTTGATGACGTAGATGACGTAGTCACTTCAAGCTTGATGGTCATGGCTGACGTGGTCACTTCACGCCATGTTTGGTCACTCCTCGTGACCAAACATGGCTGACTTGGTCACGACGTCACTTCAAGCTTGATGACGTGGCTGACCTCGTAGCCACATCATTCACAACGCACATATTGCAGTCAGGTAACACCTCGATTCTCTTGACGCTTATTAGCCTACACGTTTCCTGAGTCTTGACAAGCGCCGCTCATAGAGGCGCAAACTTTCATCAATAATCTTTTTAATTAGATCAGTTTGTTTTCTATGCTTCTAGTTAGCGTGACAAGATGACGGATATGATAACTTCGGCGGAAAGTTTTTTTGAAAACAAACCTCTATAGTAAGTCATCGGATTTGAACATAAATGGATGTTGATAAACATCACAATAAATAGAAACTAACTTACTGTCAATACTCAAGATTTCAACGCGCGTCTCTGTTGTCCAAACAATAGCAAAGGCAGCAACATAAGTAATATCACCTTAAGCTATAATGACAAAAACTGTCTGCAATGTGGTTCATATATAGGTGACGAGTAATTTCTGTTACTGATTCAGCCCATTTGAATATTTTAGGTTGCAAAGCCCGCCCGCTTGCGTGAAATAGTGCTAAGGAAAATGTGAAAATTTTTGGAGATGCGAGTAAATTAAATTATGAAAGTTTGGAAATTAAATACCTTAAGCTATAATGACAAAAACTGTCTGCAATGTGGTTCATATATAGGTGACGAGTAATTTCTGTTACTGATTCAGCCCATTTGAATATTTTAGGTTGCAAAGCCCGCCCGCTTGCGTGAAATAGTGCTAAGGAAAATGTGAAAATTTTTGGAGATGCGAGTAAATTAAATTATGAAAGTTTGGAAATTAAATACCTTAAACGAAAATTCGGCATTCTTAATATTGTAAAATTCATGTTTGATACCAGTTAGCGTCACACTTCAGATTCTCTCAACGCAAAAAATGCAAAAACTATTCAAATTTTGCGGTAATCCTAATAAAATCCTTTTTTCTAATTTCAGAAACAAGAAAATGACAGCATATTTCGATACATAAAGATCATTTTGGACAAGGCAGAACAGCCCGCCCTAATTAAGAACTGTATTGCATTTTTATTACAACTGTAATAAAAATTTGATCATGACGGAAACTGAAGTTTTGTGAGGCAATGTCGTGAAACAGAACTCTGAGCTTTACGGCTTCAGACCAAAACAAGTCGCATGTTTTGTTCAAAAGTCCGACGCTCAAGGATGTCCTGTTGATGAAGTCTCGCAAACTTTAAAGAAACTTTGTAGTGGCAGGAACTGTAAACAGGAAATCAATTCTGTGACAAGCTTCGGGAATGCGGCGGCTGGCATACTGGGCATGCATAATTACGATCAACAAATATTTCATTTCACGAGTCGCTGTTCTTATAAAAAATTTAGAAGTTGATCTGCTATGTCACTTGTTGCACTTTGACATCATTAAACTGAACGTGAGAAAAATGAGATCTTTGTGGTGTAGCCTTCGGGAGTTAGAAAATTGGAATCTTCATTTTGAATTCATGAAATGGTAGACAAGTCGGTAGAGATTTATATCAAAATTATAGTAGGGAAGTATACAAGATTTCGATTTCTCCCATTTAAATGTTCCTGCTGAGGATAAATCCGGATTATATTTGTATTGAAGAAAACCAATAATAATCTAATTCAAAATTCAAATAGTGTGTAGAAATTTGTATTCAAAAGGTTTTATATCCTCCAGTAGAAAAATACAATTCAATTTCATGCGCTCCAATCAAATCTTATAACATTTGGTAGTATTCAAAACCATAGCGTAAAATTATTAACAGCTATTGACATAAGATAAATTCATCTATTCTGCCAGTATACATTGAATTTCAAGGTTAATTGATTTATAATCGTAATTCCCGGGCTTGATTAATTAAAATTTATTTTTCACCTTTGTATAAGAGAAATATTTTTCGTATGCTGAAATCCTTACAGATGGTCAGTCGGGAGATTGAGATCATTATGTCCTAAAAATTAATGCCAAAATGCAATCTAAAAGACAGCTTGCAGATTTAAAAAGGGCTCATTTCTTTGGGGCTCAATCACAATTTTTTGTAATTTATCCAGAGCAAAATTTTTGGTTGACGGATACCGAGTGCTTATAAAATGCTGTAATTGAATTGGGGTATTTGAACGTTAACAAAACAATTCATGTTCAAATCAAGTAGTAATCACTGCAATCATGCACAGGTTCTCGCATTACATTACACGGGAGCGAGCCCGAAGTGCAAAAAGTAAACCTTGCAGAAAAGAACAGACTTGGCTGCAATATATACTGAAAGCTAGGGACGCGATAGGTTCGCGACAACACACTGCAGCCAAAGCTGTTCCGGTTACCAAGCGAATAAATATTGTCTAGAGCTTCCATTAAGCCAAATAAGGGGCGATAAGACCAGAATTTCTCGAGCTTCGATTTAGAGTAATCTTCACAGGCTTTTATTGAACCAGAGTGCTTCTTTTAAGAAGATTCTGGCGCAGTGACTCAAGGGAACGCATTATAATCACAATTTCTAAGTGCACTTAAAAGACAGCGAGTCTAAAATAATCGTTTTTTCCACTACCTTTAGCAGCGTGAAGAAAGTATACTCTTTTCAGAATATTACTTTAGCAAGGGAACTTGTATTTGTACCTACATTTTTTAATAATGAGACCTCCGCATTATCCTTCTAAATTTTATCGACAGTATCACATTTTAACAAATAATTTTGCTTTTGAGTAAACAGAAGTCTTGAAAAATCAGGAAAAATATAATTGATTGTCGATATTAGGTATTAAGAGTATAAAAAATAATAGCACCTGCTTATATATGAGTGAACATAAATATAAGAGTATATTACACGCACTAAACTCTTGACACCATTTCCGGCTTGAAAGTTTCACCAGCATCCTCGCTGTGCCCTAGTTCTCGAGGCTGCCACTCCTCTCCTCTGCCCTCACTGATGTCCACCTTAGCGGAAGAGCCGCTAACGGAACTCACAAATCGAGGCAAACTTCCAAACTTATTTGCTTTATCTTTGCTGGCGAGCTTCATGGGACACAGCGTCTGGGAGTCGTAAGCGACCACCCCGCCAGGCTGCGGCGAGCTGCCGCCACTTGGTGATGCACGATCGCGTCTGAGAGGAAACCAATGACACAAAAATTTATGGCATCGTCAATTTTGAGTAGGAAAATACAAATTTTGTTCTAAATTATGGTCCTATGATTGCCTTAAATTTTGCATTAAGCCAAAGAGGAATTCATTGTTCATCGTTTTCGGCTTCGTATGTATAGTTCGCAGTAAGATGCAAATGTGGGTAAGGCGTATGAAAATGAAAACTAGATAATGCTGAATGCATTTGAGGTCATGTCATGTGCTATTTTTAAACAATTAATTCGATGAGTAGGAGCTCCTGCAATTTTTCTTTGTTTCAGGGATTGCCAAGCACGCAGTTCAATTTTTTTTGGTTCGCGGGAAAATCAAAATATGAAGATTTTTATTGCATTTCTAGGTTGTGATTCAGAAACAATTTACGTTCGATTAAAATACTAGTATAAAAATAAATAAAAAAGAGGACATCGACCTCTGCATAGTTCATCTCATAAGTGAAATGCGAGAGCAAACACTAAAAATTTGCTATGCTCTTGCAAGTTGAGAAAATTAGATGAAGTTTTGCTTTGGTTCACAAAACAGACAGTAATTCTTCTCATGTTCTTATGACTTAACAAGTCACTGAAGCACCGGCCTTAAAACACGGCTCAAGAACAAACACTTCATAAACTTACCGACTGCTTTAAAATGCACACTGAAAGGAAGTGCATATTCCCATGGAGGAATGCGGTTTAGTTGGAAAGATTCGAGTAAAACATGAATGGGAATAAAGAAGTGGAGCAGAACTCAAATGATAGGTTTTTTTTCTTGCGATTCTTGCGCTTCAAAACGAGTCTTAAGATTCTATATCAGCAGCAGAAATAAATGAAATTAGTAAAACTGACTATTTTGTTATACTGATTTCTGGACTTTTTAGACTTCAAAGGAAACCATTCCATAATTTGAATTACTAAATTTAATTTCGGTTGATCTTACATGATAAAAATGTTATCGCTTCGTTAATTAAGATTTTGACGTCGTAAAATATTCGTCGAAATTCTCAACTAACTAACTAACTAACTAAGGGAATAAGAAAGTGGAGTAAAACTCAAATGGTAGTTTTTTGTGATTATTGAGCTGCAAAGGATTCTTAAGATTCTATATCAGCAGCAGAAATAAGTGAAATTAGTGAATTTGTTGACTTTTTGTACTGATTTATAAAATTGTTAAACTTTAAATGAAACTAGTCCATATTTTTATAACTAAATAAAATTTCCGTTTTGATAACTAAATATTATCGGTTCGTTGATTTACATCTTTACGTCATCAAAAAATCGTCGAAATTCTCAACCAGCCGTTAAAAAAATTAATTCTCTCAAGAGGATCTCCTCAATCTTGTTGCATTCCTATAATCAATAACTGTGATTGCTAGCGTCCTGGAAAACATAAATTTTCCAATCAAATGACAGATTGCTCAAGATGGATATAGAATGCATGACAAAGATAGTGTATTAAGATCCTTCCGCCAAGTCACCCTTTGGAGTTCAGTTCTATGAGGTTAACCAGATCTCACCCGATGGACAAGCTGACAAATATAACGTTAATCAGTCTCACGTACCCATGCAATGGACAAGCTCAAAAATAAGACGTTTATTAGGTCTCTCCCGATGGACAAGCTGACAAATAAGACGTAATCAGTCTCACCCAATGAACAAGCTGACAAATAAGACGTTAATCAGTCTCACCCGATGGATAAGCTGATGAATAAGACGGTAAGCAGTCTCACCCGATGGATACGCTAACAAATAAGACGTCAATCAGGTCTCATCCGATGGACAAGCTGAGAAGTAAGACGTTAATCAGGTCTCATCCGATGGACAAGCTGAGAAGTAAGACGTTAATCAGGTCTCATCCGATGGACAAGCTGACAAATAAGACGTTAATCAGGTCTCACCCGATGGTCAAGCTGACGAATGTAGATGATGGAGGTCCAGTGGCTGACACATGAGTCATGAGGTCGCTGACTGGCACCAGGTCAGGCGGGTTGGTCATGTGACCGGTCCTCTCCAGACGGTACGTCTCATTTCGCTTCGGCGTGTTACAGTCTGCAGGGTGACATTAAACATACAAGTCAGTTCACGGAGCACGGACTCATACGGTGAAATAGACGTGAACATGAACATTCGGTTACGGAGGTCATGGTAAAATAATAAAAAGTCGGAGATTTTGCATGTACCCATCAATGCTGGTATGCAAATCAAAAGGAGGGGCATATTCGGTAGCACGAAAATGCACGCATTAAATAAACATGGTAATCAACTGACAAATTGTATTTGGTGTCTGACTTCACTCTTTGGTTTCCAAAGGCAATCCTTAATTAAACGACTCTGTTGGTACGGCTAGCTGGATCCAAATTAAACTTCAAGAAAACATCAGGAAATAGAGTCAAACTTTTAGCTCAACACCTGGACTCAAGCTCTCCACTTCTGTTTTAGATGGCAAAGTCTCGCGTACAGTGTCGCCGACTGCTCTAGTTGGCTGTTAACTGCGCGAACGCTCGAGAAGTATACGCAGTTCTCACCTGCCAGCGCCTGACTTGGAGGTTGACGCTCGAAAGTTGCCAGCGTTGCGTTGTTCCTGGCATTAGCATTGGCAGCTGTGATGTCATCGGAGAAGCTCGAGGAGAATTGCATCGTAGCGCCACCGTTGACGCTGTTTGCTACAACTTGTAGAACTTGCGATGTCTGATATTGTGAGGTGGCGGGGGGCTGAGGCGGGACTGTGGCTCCCGACGAAGCCGGCGTCGCCGTTTGCCAAACATCTGATAACACAAATACGACATCACTTAAGTTGGAGTTAGTGAAGATATTAAAGCAGATGACGTTCATTTCGCCTGTGATATTTAGAATATCGTAGCATTATAGGATATTGCAGCGAGATATAAACATTGAACAATGCTTGCATGGAACATGCGTCCAATCATTTTTCCTTTAATTTTCCCATCATTTTCTTATATTTTTTCCATCGTTTTGCCATCATTTTTTCCATAAATTTTCAGCATTTTCCTACCATTTTCTCATAATTTTCCCACCATTTTCCATTCATTTTCCATTCACTAAAAGTGATTAGAATTTCAATACTTGGGCTAATGATGGGATAGTTATGATTACAAAAGTTAATCGTAAAGTAGAAATAACTGCGATATAAAATTTTTTATAATATCTTGATCCGCAGTGAATTGCTTCAAATGTGGCGACAGATAAGACCCAAAATAACAAAGAGCTTAAATATTTAAACTTGAACAGCTTTACAAACGGTCATTTTACGTGAATATTTTTAACTGTCGATGCAATCTGAAAATTAGTTTAAATCTATTAAACTTCAATGAATATTTATTATGATAAATAAAATTTTTTCCCTTTGATATCTTGATGGTAATTACTTTTATTAAATCGATTGAAATAGTTTATACATTTAAAATAAAATTTATAAAACGTTATGTTTATTTATGTTAAAAAAATTAAAACACAATAACTTAATTACGTTAGCGGCGTACCCGTTGCAAACGAGAAGTGAATAACTCCAAGCTTTGAAGATGAAACGCGTTGATTGATTTGCAAGTAGAATTTTTTTTTCAAACTTCTTGCCAATCATTCAAGCGCAGCTCAATGGCGACGTTATATTTAAAAACTTCTGAAGCTTGTATCACAGCTTAAAAAAATTGCAATCACTTTTAGTGTTCGTATGCAGCTAACACAGGCCTATATCATAGTGGGTTCTGTGCGGAGTTCTGTAGTGACCTCTTTTTAGTTCGCAATGTAACTGAAGTCAAAGGGCTGAAAAAATACGCTCTCATTTGGGACTTGCATTTTCATAACAAAGTCATTAGCTGGATCAAACAGCAATAAAAGTCGACTTGAAATTAAAACTATATTTTTACCCGCTGTTACAGCACAAAATCTAGTAAATCATGTCGTGAGTCCATTGAATAACAAAAATCGGTGTAAAATGCGGGAAATTCAAAGATAAATTAAACGAGAAAAAATTTTATTTCCTAAATAGGGGTAAAAAAACGTACAGAACGTTTGATGCATAGGTGCCAGGTATAAGAAACATATAGGAGTGGTACATAGAACAGAACTTTGCCTTATACTGATGATCGCGGTTTCGGCGTTTATTAGGTCGTAGGCCTGTCGCCGATTCTTAACATCGCATAATATTCACAGCTTGTTGCGGTCTCGAACACGCAACTCACTGCTCCAATTTAGGTTTCACAATATGAAATGTGCGCCCGAAATTTAACAGTGAAGGACTTTTCTTCGAAATAAAGCAGGATATATCGTTCGACGAACATGCATGATGACACTAAGTAAATTATTTTTAAATGCCACCCAACGATGATGGTTGTTGATTAAGGTACCGTTTTACATAGCCGTCGTTTTGAAATGATTAGCGTTTGCAAGCGTCAGCAATGCTTTAATGTAACAACGAAAACTATAAGAAAACTACGCGAAAGTAATACTTAAAAAAATGAGAAATCCGGTGCTTGAGTTTCACTTGTGCATGGGATTTCAAGGATTACTCAGACAGAATAATTTGCAGTAAATTTTCTATTTAAATTTCTATATGCAAATTATTCATGATTACGCGTATTGCTAGTATATTAGGACCCTGTATATTGCTTCACTCGTCATCCGTTAAGGAGCACTGGTTCATTTTTACTAGACTTTCTTCAAGTCAAATCGGCTCGACGAATCAAAGCATCAGGAAAAGACACAAAATAGATCTTAAATGATTAAATGAGTTTAATAAATGATAAATGACGCCACTGAATTTTGAGCAGCGCACGGCATGCAAAATAATTTAAAAGTTTCAGTTCATTTAAGATGAGGTCACCATAAAGAATGGGAACGCCCTTTCTATGGAGTAAAGAGACGAGTTCCTTGAACGCGGTAATTAGTTATTACTTATTTTTGAGCGAAGATTACTTCATATAGGTGATTCGACGTTCACTGTGAATGAACAATTGCCTTGGAATTATTATCTGTAAAATATTATTTAGGAAGAATCATTAATCTAAATTGCAACTAACCCTCGTCGGATGCGGCAAAACTCGGGGGCGGCAGCACAGTAGCGAGGGCTGCTGAAGCCTCGCCCTCACACTTGGGCGAGGAGACGTCTGGTGGGGCGAGGGAAAGCATAGCAGTGTTAGGGCACTAGTTATGGCTTACTATGAGGAATTAGATCAGTACTCACTGAAGTGAGTAACAGAGGGCGCATTTTCTCGTCCGTCCATCCATCCGTCCGTGAAGTCACGGACGGATGGACGGACGGATGGACATGACGAGAACAATAGCGCCTTTTTCCATAAATGAAAAAATATAACTCAGAACTCACTGCAGTGAGTGACAGTGAGCGCATTTTCTCGTCGACGAAAACGTGAAGTCACGGACGGACAGATGGACGGAAGGATGGACGGACATGGCGAGCACAATAGCGCATTTTTTCCATAAATGAGAAAATGCCATAAAAACGTGCTCAAAATGGGTGAACTCTTGCCTAAATACTGTTGAACTTCTTGCCGTATGTGGGTCAACTTGACCCAGTTTGGGCCGGTAATTGGGTGTATCAGTGCTACTGACGCAAATTGTGTCACCATTTGGACAGTGCCACCCATTTATTTTTTTTGAACGCCTGATGAATACCGTGCTTAAAGATCTCAAACGTTTTAGTGTTACGGAAGAAAAAACATCCTGATTATTGTACTAGTTTATGTTCCAAAAGAAAGCACGGATTAATAAAGACGGTCTCAACGCGTCAGGAATTTGTTAAAAAGCCAAAATAAGCCAAATGACGGTAGAAACTCACAACATACTGATTAGGCAGATCTTTATAAAATTTCAGTTTTTTTCACAATTTAATGTGCTAATTTAGAGAATATTCGAGCGCCCTCGTCGATTCGAGTGCAGTGTAGCCTCGATAAAACGAGGTAATGTACTCCTTAATTTTGAAGACATGTGAAATTAGGGACTTGATTTATATTTTTAGTCTGCATAATAACTTATCACAATCAAATTTTATTGTAATAATAATCTCAATAGATGATGTTTTCAGTGCGTCGTGCTCGCATGCAGAGAGTTCATTACTGTTCATAATAATTGTTGGGATTAGATTAGGTAACCTAAGATAGATAACATATAGACTTTGCGCCTTTACGTTCCCCATAATCTTTACCAGAAGCCTTCGTTCTCTTTGCTTCGTTTAACTTTAGCGATCAATTTCCATGAAAAGAAAAATACATTGGAAAAAATTCATTGGCAAAAATGTAACTTTATTTATTGGAAAAAATTTGACAGGCAACATATATGCCTACCTGGTAATAGCGCAGCCTGATATTCAAAGGTGAGATATTTCTCCTACTAGACGGATGAGCTTCATACATCAATAAAATCACCATTTTGAAAGACATCACAAATGACAGGCGATATATATGTACACCTGTTCATAGCGCAGCTTGGAATTAAAGGCGAAATATTTGACCAACTGGACGAATGACACACCATTTTTGAAAGACATCACATTTTGAAAGACATCACTATAATGTACCGCCACGCGCTGAAGGGTTAAGCGTCCCGTCGAGTCCACTGGTGCGCTGGGACATGCACTCAGACGTGCTCGCTTACGAGATGCAGACTCAGTACTATTAGAGTATATTTTGCCCTGGCTTTTAGGACGGAGTCAGTTGAGCAAGGATCGGCCATCGTTAAAGCTACTCAGACGTTATCTTATGAGTCGTAACACGAGAATAACTGAACTGTGTCCTGAATCCTTTATTGAAACTGTTCAGCTTTTAAAAATAATAAAGGTTTTGTTAAAGTAAGGATGTCTTTATTCACCCCGACACTAGCTACAGGCCATACCTCAGTAGGTTATAATTAAGGTAACTTGACTCAAGCGTGACCGAAAAAAGTAGTAACCTGACTGGTCGAAACAAAAAAAAATGAAAAAAAAAAAAACAATTTTTGATCTTATATTCTCATATATTTGACAGTATTTTTACGTATGTTTCACAAAAAATTATACTTTTAAGAATTAATTATGGTTTATATCAGCGACTTGAAAGTCAAATCGATATAATTTAAAACATCTCAAATTGACTGTATATTTTAATTCTGATAATTAGGAAGAACATCAACCCTAAATTCTTCATTGTTACTTGTGAAAAGCACTAAGGTTAGCTGGTAGTCAATTTGAATCGAAACCAACGTATAAAGTTTAGTAAACTTTTGCAACGAACTGCCTTGTAAACTTTTTTAACGAACTGACGAGATGTATTCCAGATACCGTGCATACCAACGTTATGCGAAACACATGAAACGGAGCGACTGCTGCATATGCTCATCACAGTGAACTATAGCTTAGGGTCGCGATGGTGATTTGAAATTCAATGAGTTAGTCGAGTGGAAGCGATTCAAAGTGAAATGCTCTGAGTCTATATCAATGCTTAGATTCAGAGAGAATTATGAAAATTTCAAGCGAGGTGATTTTTTTTTCTTAGCTGTGAAGTCGAATTAATGTTGATGACTTTTGGACTTAGGAGTCTAAGCCATTAAATTATTTCGTATCCCTTATCTATGCATGCAAATTATTTCTTATCCTTGTTCTAAATAAAATCGGATAATTCTAACCACCTGTTATTTTTATCAATTTCAAAATTTAGGATAAATCAAGCTCTTATACTCCGAAGCTAGAAGAACAAGACAAGCTTTTTCATTGAGATGACCTTGTCGCATCAAGAATGGTTCGAGTTCAATTTATACATTCCAGGTTCAGAGTCATCAGTCTCTGCCATTTGCATGCTTATCTGTCAATCATTAGGAAACCGAGCCTGTACCTTACGTCAATAACAAGCGCTAATCGAATATTTGTGACGCAACGTTGTATATTTAGGCATTGAATAGCTAGTCAATGTTAATAAATCTCTCGACATAAAAGCATCGTATGAAACATGTATGAAACAATGGCAAGACAGCTATGCATTATCCGTTAGTAATACTGACAGTAATAATGAATAGCGTAAAGTATTACAGCAAGTATATAAGGTGGTTGAGGACGTCAGTATATGTGCCTACAAACAAAGCCTGCAAAGTTCGTGAAGCTGAATGTCTACAAAATATAGCTCAGTATTATTCTCGTAGCTGACAAAATTTATTTCCTTGCATCAGACAGCAAGATCTGCTTTGCCTTATGCATGCCTGCGGGACGACGTGACGAGATGGCTCAGGGGAGCAAGCTTTGACGAAAAGAATTCTACATATCAGAGGGCGAGACCTGCCCTCGAGCCTCTTGTTTCTGCAGGAGAACGAGCACTGAAATGTCCGAAATATGTAAATATGTAAACGATGATGTATTTGAATAGTTCGGCATCTAGAATCATTATGCTCATGGGGAAAAATTATAATTCGGTCATTTAGAAAATTTTACAAAAATGAAGTGCCTTTGTGTGCAATGACTCATAGTTTGCAATGGTGACGTTGTTTTAGTTTGATTTAAATTTTTGCCGTTCTCGATGATTGCCCTTACATGTGAAATAATCCTTTTTATCGTACACGAAAATGTTTAGTACACTTTTCAAGAGGTCATGCGTACATTGGAGGAAGTGGATATAAATTTGTTTCAGAAATTGTTAGTGTCAATTATTATTATGAAAAGACAAGAGCGAAGCAGAATAGCCTCATTTCATATAAACTTAAAACATGATGTTTGAAGGAATTTATTTACATGAAATATTCCATTTTTGAGAAAATTCAATTTTTCTTTCCAACCTAGGATAAAAATGTAATCTATTCAGAAATTTAAATCATAAAATTTTGAAGGATACAACCATTTATAAATAAGTAAAAACCGAAAAATAGTTATATTCGGAGCTCAACGTAATTGAGTTGTCAAAAGAAATCGAAATGTCAGATAACACATGTGAGCAATTCGCCTGAACAAATTTAAAACTGACATCAGCGGAAAAAACTTTAGCGTTCAAAGATCATCATTCCGAGTCCACAGAAATGTTAGTTCATTAAAGGCCAGATGATTACTTCGTAAAAAAATATTAACGTATTGGAATTATTGCGAATTTCCATAGCCGACACTTCAAAGACTACTGCCGCAATTTTGACGATATTCGAACACGGTGTCATCAAGACTTCTAATGACACTTAAATTAATCTTCGGACAAGATTTCTCCCTGCTTGCCCGTAATTAGATGGATAGAGAACAAAAATGAATATTTTTCCGTTATGCATATTTATGATAATGAACGCCATAGCCTTTGTTTCGCTACTGTATCGCAGTAGCATAAACTGAAAAACTAACTTTTTCGTGAATGGAAAGGACCAAATAATTATCAACCAAGTATTACAGTATTTCATTCAAAAATAAAATAAATAATTATTCATGTGCAATCTTTCTTACAGATAGTGAAACTGATTGGGAACTTGAAACGCTCTTCGCACTCGAATAAACAACCTTACATTTGAGAGTACATCGGCCCTACCCTCTGATCTCTGCCCTACAGAGCGACTTGCACCGAGGGCGGGCCACTGCATAGTCAGAGTATTGGATGGCGTTTAAATTGGAAAAGTTCCCTTAGTTCAGCTGAACGAAATTTTCTCCCTGGGGAGGTGAGCGCCGCTGTTGCGTTGGACTCAATACAGAGGCAAAGGGCGCGCTCTCCAGGGCAAAATAAAATATTTGTAAACTAGATGATTATTTTAAATGAAATTTTATATCTTTTTCTTTGAATTACTAAATGCGATTAGAGATTTATAATAGTAAATCAATTGATTGGTTTTCGCATGATATTGTTCACGGTATTGCAGCGATCCTGCTAACTACATCAAAATAAAGCTTTCCTGATTAACATGAAATGACAATACCAGAAAGCACAACAGACAAGACGCAAAACTGACAGTGAAGCGCCAACGTTCCAAATACAGACGAAAAATCTAAAAAAAACCCAACTCAAATATTTAAATTTTTAATGTTCAAGCGGATTCTGAGAAACATAAATCCAACTAAAAAGCACAGTTTGCAGGTGAGTTTGCGATTAATGACGGTCGATAAAAACGGTTGTCATGGTTAATGCTGAGTTCAATATTAGTAATGCGCCAACATCAAAGTTAT